ATTGTAATGTTCTCTATATAGTTGCAGAAGTTGAAGCTATATGACTTAAAGACAGTAAGTCATTAATACTGAGTCTTACTGTTTTTAAACAGTTTAGTCTACTACTATTTATTTTTTTTAAAAATTGTGGCCTCAGAGAAAACTTCGTTACATGTGCTGGTCTTTTAATAGGAGCTGGATTTTAACAGTAGCTATATTTTTCATTTGTAAATAAGCAGCATATATTATTTTGTTTATTTACATATCTAGTACTGCTTCCTATGCTTCATATAAAATACAGATAATATATTTCTTTTTTTAAAGGAGTAATTAATTACTAGTAATAGTTCAGTTTCTCTTAAAACTCTCTTCTAAAAGTTATTCCCAATTTTATTTGTATGTGGTCTTCTGGAAATACTTCTCTTTTGGTGCTGTATGTAATTATCTAGTTACTGCTAAAGTGGCTACTTCTGCTCTTTGGTTTTTGGGGTTTTTTTTAATATCTTCATGTTTCTTTCTCTTTGGAAACAAAGAGTCTTCTAAAGTAAGAACGTACCACACAGCCCTTGGAAATGTGTGGTTTCCAAGATGCATGTATTTGAACTATGAAATAGTAACAAGGAGTAAAAGTATGGAGTAGCTTCAGCTCAGGAGAAGTATATAAAGTTGTGAATGGCAGGAAAGAAGCATTCAGAAAATGATTAGGCACCAGGTTAAAAAAAAGTTAAAACTTTTTTACACAATATGTGGTTGGGATGTGGAACTTACTGCCATGATGCATTAAGAGGACCAAAGTAATTTTAGAAAATTTCTGATATATTAATCAGAGAAGAATCCATTGTTGAGGATTGAACAGACTGATGCAGACAGAAACTTGAGTGATGAAATCCCTGAGGCAAACAGCCGCAGAAGCTGTCAGAGCACACTGAAAGAAGCATCACTCTAAACTTGTTCTTTTCTTCTTTCCACAAGCCTGAACTGTTGACCATAGTCAGACACAGGATACTGGACTAGATGAGACCTTTGGGCTCAGCCAGCACAGACGTTCTTCTGTTCTTTCTGTCGTTTCCCTGCTTTCTCAATGCTGGAATAACAAGCACAATGGGAATGTTGTAAAGAAACCCGCAGTTTATGGGCTAGTAATGAAGCAGGTGGGATTCACCTCTGAACTGTACCCTGAATTAACTCTTTTCCCCTGTGTTTTATTAGCCCAACTACTCAAACGTACTGAAACAAAAATGTAAGTTTCTGGCTGCTCTCTGCGTGGGAAGAGTTGTTTTCAGATAACAAGACTGGAAGGAGGGAAATTATTTATGTACAAGCTTTGTGCTTGTCTGTAACAGAGCTGTACACCTGTGGTCAGCCTTTGGTTTGAGAGGATGCATCATGGTGCACCCAGAAGAGGCAGGGGAAAAGGACCGTAGCATTTTTACCTGGGCTAGGGCTAAGTGAAACGTCTTGCTTGGCCACCATCATATATATAATTTCTTAAACGTTCATCTGAGTGCTTTAAAAATAATGGCAAAGCCATCAAACATGGGGATTTAAATATCAAAAGGTTAACAGTTAGTTCTTTCTGCCTTAACAACTCGCTGCAAAGAGCCGTGTGGGTGAGAGGCTGTTGCGGGGCTGGCAGAGCACTAGAGGGCCCCCCAGGACCGCCGCGGACAGAGCACGGGGGCTCTGCCGTAGCAAGCCCCGGTGGATTGAATGAGGAGGTCGGTATCGCTTGTCATTTGTCAGGAATGATCTGAAGACTTCATTTAAAGCTTTCCTTTTTTCTCACAGAATGTGGCTTAAATATATGCATCCATCTCTCGTGCATGTTGGATCCAGGTTGAGAAGACAAATTGTGTGATTCATGTTATTATTTTCAGGTTCCTACCAGTTGCTTTGAAGTAGTGTATTTCCAATTTACCTCTAATTCCTGTTAGAGGTTGCAGTGTTTTCAGTGGGATTGCAGTGAACAGTATGTCACAGTAGATACCCTGCACAAGGAGTAAAACATTAAGCATCTGAGTCCTCCAAACTAGAAGATTAATTTGTATCACTGTTTACTAAAGGGATGAGGGCTTAAAGTACATGAAGACCAGTAAGAACTCGGTTGAGAACTTTGTCTCTTTCCTCTTCCCTCCTTCCTTTTTTAATTTAAGGTCACAGTTAGAAGTTCATTGAAGAACTGAATGCTTTTAGGAGTTGATCTTCCTCTGTTGGATGGTACAAATTCTGTAGCAGAGCCAGGTTGAGCGAAATTCCTTTTACCACGTAAGCTACCTGCTATAAACCTATCACAAATGGAGTGAAGTGAGCCCTAAAAGCGGTTTCATTTATTCCCTCTTCCCATTTTCCAGCTACTGTAGAATACATTTTCTTCTGTGAATTAAGTATGAAGAGGTGGTCTACCCTTCCTTAAAAGATGCATCTCAAAGTTAACATCTTTTTAGATTATTATATAAGGTGTTCTACAGTAAAGTTCTCCCATAGCCAAAAAAAAAAAAAGGTCCTCAGCTCTGTTCCCAAGAGTTAGACTGGAGCTGAGTGGTTTCATGAGTCCTGTAGGAATCTGGTATCTATCATTGCTCACTTGTGACAGATTCTGTAATATAATTCTAAACTATTAATTGCTTCTATAGTTCTGTTTTTAATTAAAAACTTCATAGGAAGTAGAATTTTAAGTTCTGGTGGGGAGCAGCTGCCTTACCTTAATTTTTACAACATCCTTGCCTTAAAAAAATCTGGGCAGGCTGAATTTCATTTGTCTGGTCTAAAACTTGTAAACAGTTTAATATATATAAAAATACCTGATTTCCTCCTTATTTAGCAGCGTGGGTATGGTTGGTGGCCTATTTATTTTTCATTTCCTCTAGCACTTTAGAACAGAGAATCCCAATAAAGTGCTAGGATATTATCATAGTAGAAGGTTTTTCTAAAAAAGAAGCAAAGCTCTGGCTGTGTCCTGTCCTTAAGAGATCCTCCACTCCTGAGAGCCACTCCTGGCTTTTGTCCCTTTCAAGAAGAAACTTATGACAGTATTGCAACAATGGGATAGCTTTTATAATCTGATTTATATCTAACTCCATTTAAAGGACTTGGGTATAAAACCTATTTTGTAAGTTTTCTCTGTACTATTCTCCACAGTAGAATTAAGATATTTATATATACTAAAATACTGAACAATAAAGCAAAAAAATTTAACTCCTCTCACTTGCTCTTGACTCAGAGGAACAAAACTAAGTCATTGCTGAGCAGTCTTGAAAGTCGTATCTTAGTGTGTAAAACAAACAAACAAACAAACCAGTGTTTGCATTTTGTTCCATGTCATTGTCTTTTGTATCACTATGCACTTTGGTTTTATTGCTATAAGACACATATTCACCCTCTTGAAAGTTCATCTACATTTTGCTTTGTTTGCTGTGAAAATGACAGCTTGTGTCATCTTATAGGTATGTATGTGCTTTTTTCCTGTAGCTGCTGCTAACTAACTTAAAATATGTTGAATTCAACTAGTGAAAGGTTCTGATAATCAGCCATGGATTAGTCATGTTTTCTAAGATTTGTAAACCTGCCCTTGCTTCTGGCTACTTGGTGACTTCTGAAATGGTTCTGTTGCACTGCAGATCTAAATTATATTTATTTTGGTTATAATTCATGTGTCACTATACAATAGCAAGACTGTCTTCTCTTTTTTTTTTTTTTTCCCCTCCATTTTTTTAAACTTCTTACAAAACATTTCTGTGGCAGGATGACATATGTGTATGTATATTTTATATTTTACATAGTTATTACTTATTTAGAAGTTACCTGTTAAATAATTCTTAGTTAGTATTCATTGTTCATTTGCTGGACTGATTTCAGTTTTATCTATTTGCACTTTCCCCAGACCCTTAGAAGAAAGGAATTATATGTTATACTTCACTTATTTTTAGTGTTCTTTGTAATTCTTGGGCTAGCTCTCCAAGCTTGGACAGTGGTGCAGATAGTAAAATGCTCTCCCTTTTTTCATGAACACATTATGACAAGTTCTTTAAGTTATTAGTGGGATGAAAAAATAAATAATTGTAAAAGGCATACTTTTTTGAACCTTAATTTCCTTTCCTGTGTTGGTAGAAGTCCAGTAATAAAGAGTACAGTGGGCTAATTGTTTATGTACCAGTGAAAGAATTTAAAAAGTTAGTACTTAGGGCAATGCTCATCAGTGCATCTGTATTTTTCTGTTCAGTGTTTGTTTGCAACAGAGGAATTGTCAGCCTCTCCAAAAATGTGGCAAAGACTTGGAACTTATTTTATGCCCTTTTATATTTTACTAATGATAAGACATTAGAGTTATTCTCTCATTCTGACCTTTAAATCAGTTATTAGGCATCTGGTACATGCTAATGCCTTCACCTTGGTTCCATATGAGAGGAACAGAGAAGGAGAAAGAAAAAGTAGCAGGAATACAGTATGATTTATGTCTTGGGGAAAAAAAGAGAGAGGAAAAGGAGGGAAGTTTCAAAATTTTAAATAAATAGATGTAGAATGAATTATGCCTTTCCATGTGACCAGTTTTAGTGCACACAGGGATCTTTCTTCATTACAAGTGAAGGGAAGGATGTGTTTACCTGGGCAGTGAGGAGTTCAAGAACTTTACATCAGTACATTTTTGTCTTTTTTATTAAGTTTGATAAAACAAAACTGTAATTATCAAATAAAGGAATCATGTGATGTGTGTAATCCTTTGAGTAAGAGCTCTTTACATTAGGCCCACCTTTTAGTTCGCAGAATGAGGAGAAAGGAGGAAAAAAAGGGCACCACAAAGGAAGAAGGAGATAATACACTGTATAATAGTTAGAAAAGGAAGGGAAAAAAATATTTCTCTTTTGGGCTGTGTCTCATTCTCATTCTAATTGCTTTCTGCTTTTAGCTTACTGTGAAAGGTATCTTACTATCTTTTCTGCTGGCTCTGCTGCAGAGGTTGTTACCAGTCAATGCAGAAGGATAGCAACTTCTAAAAACACTAAAGCAATTTTTACAGGAGTAATTTTAGCTCCACCAAGATAACATCAAAGTAGTAATTGCTTGAATTTGCAGCCTTTGTAGTAAGCCATAACATATGGGTGAGAATACTTTTTTATATACTAAATATTCTTCTTTGGTAAAGTGTGTGTTCTCCATTAACTACTTCAACTTGTTAATTTAAAATGTATTTTGCATTAAGACTTTTCTAGATTCCAAAAGTTTAGACAATATGTGTTTAACATTAAATACATGAACACATTTCTCATAAAACTAAATATATGTAAAAGTGAAATGTTTGCATAGTTATGTATATATTTGCCATTAGGATAAATTTTCCATTATTTACCTCACTGTTGAATTAGGAAGTCTAAAATCACTGTAATAGCTTCTGTGTGGATGGGATTATAAAACCAAATAATCTGAAAAAAAATAGTATTCTTTCTGTGAAGGCAACCGTTTGTCTTAGTAGCTCAGCTTTATGATGGTACTCACTGGTGTTTGCAGTTGTGTTCCTGTGAAATATGATCCAGTTCTGATGCATGGGTTCAAGCTGAAGAATTGTGGCTGTGAATTTTCAGACTCAGACTGGTTATAAAACAACTGAGCTACTGATATAAATGTCTCAATATTACACATTGTGCTTGCATCATTTTACTTATGCTACTTCTGGGAAGATTACCATATTATGTGTGCTTTGGAAAGAAGAGGATGTACATCTGCTATGAATTTGTGTATAAAAAGCATTTTCAATATATTCAGTTTATTTTTTTAGTAGATATGTTACAAAATAATGTTTTATATTCCACATCCTTATTGCATTTTTATCATAAAGCATTATACAGAAATCCTCTTCAAAATTCCTACTTTGCACAGATAGTTCTGTCCTCGAGAAGATGGGAGACAGTGATCAGAGATGACATGTTAACCATATTGTTTAAAGCAGTAGTTGAAACTTTAGGTACAGTAGTGGTAAAGACTATTAGAATTCCTCAATTGCATGATGTAGATTATAATTTATTTTAGAGTTCTAAGTTAGGAAAAACTTAATGTCTTGAAAGTAAAACAGGTTTTTGTTTGTTTGTTTTTTGTTTTTTCTATATTATTATTTTAGAGACATATTACTATGTATCTCCTTTGGTTGGTGCCTTTTTTTTGGCTCTGACGCCGATGGGGATTGTCATAGCTGCCAAACACCCAGCTACCAGAACTGTTCTCCATTCCGGATGGGAGCCTGTTATAACTGCCATGGTTATAAGCAGGTAAGTGTATTTGTCCTGCTTCATCTTAATAGTCACCCTGTTGTCTCTATATATATTGTTTAACATCTGATTGTACTTAAAAGTGACACTTAAGGAGGCTCTAGAATGTAGAGTGTGAATAAACTTTAATCTTCCCAAAATAAGGAAGTTACAAAGCTAAGTCACAGGTGGGACTGAGTGGGGGAGGCAGTAGCAGCCTGTGGCAACAACTGAGCAGAAGTATGTGGTATCAAATGAAGGAAATGGTGAGCTATTCATGTCCTGCAGTTTTCAGTCAAGATTGCACACAAACCTAAGAGATTATTTAGTCAAATGAAAAACATGAGTCTTGAAAGTGGAGTGATTGGCTGGAATTCTGTGGTCTCTGTTGACAATAAGTAAATTTTAATATATAAACAACTATAGTGATGTTACTCTGTAGGTGAAAACAAGGTAATGGTAGGGGAAAGGTTAATTGAGAAGAAAACTGTGGCCTGAATATGTTTTAAGACAGATTGCTAAAAAAACTTTGAAGTACTGATTAATGTATCTTCTTGCCTTATTCTAAATATTGTACTTTGTTTTTCAGTATTGGTGGCCTTATTCTGGACACAACTGTATCTGATCCTAACTTAGTTGGAATTGTTGTTTATACCCCAGTAATTAATGGTAAGACTCTTGCCAGGATTATGTGCCACTATATATCCATTGATATACCTTGGTTTGAGAAAAGTCTCTTACAGTAAATTTAGGTTATGCTAATTAGTATCTGGTATATTAATTTCAAGTTTTGATGTCAACGGTTATTTATTTGAACACCTAAGGAGTGCTTCCTGATCTCTTTTGCTACAACCATTGAAACATGGTGGAGAATGTGAGAAGTAGGAACCTAAAGTATGCTTTAAGAAACTGAAAGTGTAAATATTTTCAAAACAGGAATTTACTATTTACATGTAATGTACATAGGTATAAGAACTAAGAGAAATGCTATGGACAAGTAAATAGATTTCTCAAGAAAAATATACATTGTCTCCCATGCTTGGTATGCACTTGCCAGGTGTGTAAGAATGCGTTTGTGAAAATTTGGTCCTTAAGTTAAGTGTTCTGTCTTCTAATGATGACGACAACGCAAATTTTGTAGAACAGTTAATACCTTATTAGACTGATGCAGCTGGAAAATGTTTTGTTTTCTTTTTTTTCCCTACAGTATCACAGGGCTGATACATATTTAGTTTGCAGTAATTATAAACACCAGATCTGTTCCCACTGTATTGCTGCCTAGCTGTTCTTTTTCCCTTTTGTATTCTTCCTTTTGATTTCTCATGTTATTTTGCACTTTTAAGTATTGTTGATTTTGCAACCATTTCTCCAGTTACCAAGATGGTTCTGACTTCTAAATTTTGGCTTACAAAGTACTTTTGACTTAACTTGGCCTTTGCAAATGCCATATGGGTATATTCTATTCTGTTTTCTAAGCTATCAATTAAATCAATTATGACCACTTGTTTTCCACCTTGATAATAAAAGTTAATATGGGCACTGAGTTTTAGTTTTGAACCACAGTGCCCTGATATAATTAATTTTTTGGAGGTTGCTAATGGAAATACAGCATATGATGGCACCAAAACGTTTTGATAAGCTCTACTACAGTTGAGACCTAGTATATCTATTGCTGCGACCGTTCAGTTGGAAGTGGAAATCATATTGTTTTGACAAAAGCATATTCTTGGCAAATTCAGGTTAGCTCTTGCTTTAGAGTTTTCATATCTTCTAGATGCTTATAAATTGTCTTTTTAATATTTGATTCTAACACTTCTGTAGGAATATAAATTTCACTGATGCACAGATTCAGCAGATCATTCTTTTTGGCCTTTTTAAAAGATGTATTTTCTGTTTTCCCCATTACAGCCCTCTGGTATTCTCTAAGCTCCAAGATAATGAGTTTGCAAAAATGATCACTGATAATTCATGGATCATTCATCTAGCTCTCTAAGGATGCACTAAATTTAACTTACCCTCAGGCCCTAATACATATCAGTTTGTGATCAGATTTCACAATTTTTGTGAAGGCAGTAGACAAAAGGAACTGAGAATTTCAATCTTTCATAGAGCATGTGGCTTGTTCTTCTTTCCCATTAAGGTCCTATATTTCCTGTCTTCTTACTTTTAATATGAAGCATTCCTGTGTTGCCACTTGTGTTCCTTGCTAACTGTAAATTAATTTTTACAATTCTGCTTTTATGCTTCCTGCCTGTGCCTTGCCTTTGTATTAATTTAAAATGGCAAGCACTTGCATCTATCTTTTGTGTATTTCCATTTTGATATCCAGATACCTAAAGAGCAGAGCAGACATATTGATCTTCAACATTTTTCTGCTTTACATCTGTAACTTTTCTTAAAATAGTCCTTTTTGGTAACCCCCTAGATTTGCTTCCTAAGAGAAGAGGATTGTTTTTTTCTTTTTTAGGCAAGTGTACCTAAACTGGTACTCTTCCCAGTGATCATGCTTTCCTAGATGACATCCCTTGATTATAAAAGCCAACAATTGTCTGTATTATTAGTTGACATGTCAAAAAATCCTTGAAGAATGAGGCAGGTGTAAGAGAGGGAAAGCTGGGGCTATGGGAGCAGGCAGGGAGAGAAAGAGTCCTTCAAGAAGGCAGGGACAGCAAGAAGCATGCTTATAGCTTTGCGAGTCCCACAGTGGTCCTGTGGTGATGATTCCTGTCATGATTGTACCACCTGCATTCAAAATATTGCTTTTTCATAAGAAATTTTGTATTTCTAGATTGTTCTTAGCCTTTCTCATCTGTCGGTGGACTACTATGCAATGCTTGAGGATGTTATTTTCCAAGCCACACCAGGTGCCTTACTCTTTTGTTCATCTGGATTTTTCATGCTTAACTCTTCCTTTTCTTGTTATACATAAAGCAGTCTTTTCCCAGTTCTCAAAGTTTGAACTTCTACAGTGACTAGTAATGAACCATTAGCGAGTTGTTTATAGTCCTGTGTCCATATTTTCAGGACGTTTGCTATTATCCCAAACTGAAACTCTGCATTGTAAGAAGAGAAACCTCATACCAAGCCCCATTTTGGAGCTCATAACAAGCTTACAGCAAGCCTAATAGGCCAAGACTAGAGTCTCGCAACAGTAGCGGAAGGTAAAGTTAGCCTAAGGCCCATAACCTGTCACTACCAGTAATGACAATGCTTTTGCAGTGCCACTGGGCAACAACAGAAGCACTACGGAACCCGCAAAAGAGCAGAGGGGAGTAATGTGTAGTGTTGTATGTGTGTAACTCGCTCAGCCCTCAGAATTCTGAGGACAGAGGCATTTCTATTGGAAAATACAGAGAAAATCCATCCTGCGTAGAGGATGCAGAGTGTGCCTGTTTCATAGTACACCTCCTGGAAGAGGAAATTGTAGGTAGGTGAATTTTTGGTTGCTGTTGGATTAGCCTCTCCTGGGTTTCATAATTCTACTGGCACCTTTTGATATTGCTGGTCAGTGTAGTGTAGTAAACCAGAGTTTAGAAAATCTTTCAGTTAAAAAAAGCACATCTGTTGACATCCATTTACTGACATAAAAGGTGTGCTAGACCACTAACAGATGGCTTTTTAAATATTATGGTTGCAGAGAGCTTCCTCTACCAGTGTTTTCCTGGTCTTAGAATTCTCATTGTAAGCCTAAATAGTGAAAGGAACTGAGGATTTTCCCCTTAAAATGCTTTTCAGATGCCTTTTCCTTTCTTCTACCTTAAAGTCTGTTGCTCCTATGACACAGAAAACCTGAAAGAAACTAGAGAAACCTGAAAGAAATGTTGTAACCCATTGGGATTGTGCCCAGCCAAAATTGAAGACAGTGTAAATTTGTCCAGGATTTCAAGCTGTCGCTGTTTTTTTTCAGTGCAAGTTGCCATATCTCAAAATCCTGAACAGTATGCACTGGGAAGTTGTCAGGTGTTGGGCTTCCTGTGTGTGCCATTAAGTAGCTTTCAACCTGGGCCTGTCTAGATGGTTTCCATATTCTTAGATGTGAGAAAATCACATATGATATGGTGTGGAGCCATAAATCTTTTGGTTTAAGAAATATTGGTCTAGAATTAGAGCAATGTCAAAAGTTCCTACTCCTATTAACAATGATTGAAAATATTTGCCAAGAATATTATAATAGTTCTTAAGCAGACAGGCATTTATAGTCAGTTTTACTGCTGGTAGCCAGAAGTATTTCACAACCACTTTTCCATTTTCCCCTGTTAAACACATTTCTTGAGATGAATAATTTTTTTTTTAATTCTGTTGGTTGGGTTAAATTGTAACTCTGCTTTTTAAAAATAAATAAAACATTTTGTGGTTGCAGCCATTGTGGTACTTACAAAGTACTTGAGATTTAGATGTCTGTGTTTGATGTACTGAAGTTCTGAATAAAATAACTAAGCCCAAGCATGGCTGTGCTTCTATCTAGATGCTCAAGTTGATCTTTATGTCTTCTAATTGATGAGATGCTTAAAATTTGCAAATCCTCTTACAGCATCATAGCGTGTTGAATTTGGCTCAGGAATTGCAATTTACAAGCAACTGAGTTCCTTTTTGTGCAGAAAAAAAGATAAAGCCTTAAATAATTATATGCTTCTGAATATGCAGCTGAAATGAACTAAAGTGCAGTTACCACATAGAGCCACTTTTCTCTCCATTTTTCTTGCATGCTTAAACAAAACATTGTGAGATATCTTCTAATTGTTTGCATTTCAGGAGTTACTGCATAATATCAAACATACTGTCAGACCTTGCACCATTTTTGAAGGTGGTTTGAAGTTTTTATATTACCCTCTTTAAGGGTAATATAAAACTGTTGTAGTATTTCTTACTCTTTGGCTGTACATATTATAAGATTATTTGATATCTGGAGGGAATAAATGTAGATCAAGGAGTATAAGAAAAACTAACACAAAACTTACTGAATGTCTGTTGTCTGGGAGATGAAAGTTAAGTTTATGTAGTGTATTCCCCAAACCATAACTTTTTTATGTATTAGTAGGATAAATTGAATGAAACTTCAAGGTTTTTCAGAGAGCTTTCACTGTAAATTGTATGCTTTGGAGAATATGGAAAGAAAATACTCAGAAACCATTCCTCCTCAAAAAAGAAAATGCATTTTTTAATAACTTTGTATATATTAATCTATTATAGCATAGTTGTACTCTCAGCTTTCACACAACAGAGAAGTGCTTTGATTAGAAGGTAACCATTGCCTCAAACAGCTGAGAATCTGAAATTTGCCTCTGTAAATTACAAGGGATATTATTAGTATACCTGTAAGGTAGCAGAGCAGTTTGTCTGGGTAGCAAATTAATGTTTCTACATCTTGAATTGGAAAGAATGTGATAGTCTCAGAAGGCATCTATACTGTACAAGAACTTTATAATTCAGTCTTTATTTTCACATGAAAAGGAGGAGGGTTTTGTTTCTGGATATTTAATTCCGATGCATTATTGGGTGATAGTTTTACTACTTTTTAGTTGCTGGGCTGTATGTTTGAACCTGCATATTCTATGCTATGAGAGATGTATGTTCTGTTCTTTGTCTTATGTCTTATTTGTAAATTTTTTACAAGATCTGAGTAATTATTAGTTTTCATGTCAAAATTATATCCAGAATATTTTCCTTTT